ATACAGGGTGGGTATAAGAGTCAATGACAGTGGGTAATCCGGGCCTTGTTAAGGAGGCCAGCTGCAGACGGGAAGAAACTGTTTTTATGGCGAGACGTTTTAGTCCTGATGGACCGCAGCCTCCTGCCAGAGGGAAGTATCTCAAAGATACACAACATACAAACATTAATTTTATATCGTATATTCATTGTTGGGGTCTCTGCTGCCTCACTGAGTGACCAGCTAACAGCCAGTGCCAATTTGTTGCCGTGGTAGTGTTGCGATTAGCAGTTCAGCATGGCTCATTAGTTTCCTTCATTTTGCGTGAACCAAGAGAACAGTCGGCTGGTTTACTGATAGGAACAGGTCTTGCATTAGATCAGAGTGGCAGTGCAGTTTACCAATTCCCCACACTAGAGTACAATACAGCCTGTTTCACTTGTACACTGAACTTGAATGCGGAGTAGAATATTTAAACAGTGGCTTTTTAAGTTGAATTTTGAATAGAAAGTGACAGCCCTATGACACTGTAGGCTTTTTGTCTTCTGACTCTGACAATACTGACAGTTGTATCGCCCAAGCCTATTACTCATGATCACTGGTGTCCATACTCCGGAGCATGCTGCCACTAACCATCACACCGGCTCTGCTAATATGGTTGGTTTTTTTCTCACTGACTACATAGGTAGGTGGGCTAAACTGTACATTATGTTTTATTTATTTTATATTACTGAATTTATTTTAGTTACATATTGTGGTGACTGATATAACTAGGGTTTATATCAGTATCTACTGTTCACTCACACTAGTTTTCATGGTTACAGGACACATCTGCTGGGGATGTGGAGGAGGGGACTGATGTGACCTTTGACCTCATTGTCATGGACAATAGCTGTCCCCCCCAACCCAAACAGAAACTATTTAAAGAACAGAGGAATCTGTCCAGGAAACAAGATCTGAAACCAGTTAGCCAGACAGACAAACAGACAGAGAGGACAAAGAAACAGCTGGCAGAGGGACACGAAGAGGAGGATAGGAGATCCATCCTGCCTCAACATGCAATTGAGGTTGATGTTGAAATTAACATTATAGATAACAGTGATGGTCAGAAAACACCATCACATCCAGTTAAACCTTGTTCCAAACGCAAATCCACCACCCCTCAGAGAGCGAGGAGGAAACCCCGTGCTGACGCAGCAGGTGTTCCCTCTCTGTCCCCAGGCGGCGACGCAGCCACCTGCACCATGCCCAGCTCCCCGTCGCAGGCCTCCATCATCTCCGAGACCGCGGTCGAGGAGCTCTGCAACCTGAGGAACTACTACAGTAAACAGCTCAGGAGAATCAACTATATTTCCCATGAGTACCTGGGGCAGCCCGCAGAGCCAGGAGTGCTGGCGTGCATCAGGGAGCCTCTGAGGAGCCTTCGTCTGCCCCGCAGGGCGACCATCGCCCAGACGGCCCGCAGCCTGTGGACTCGAGTCAGCGGCAGGAGGAAGCTGGTGCACAGATGACATCAACTCAATCAGCTGCACTTAGATTTGATGTTTGTAGTGTTTTATCATGAAACGTTTGTGAATGTTTTATCTGCTAACAAAAAGGCCACTATGTGTTTGAGTTTGGAGCCACCTGGTGGTTGTACCTGGTGGCTTCCAACCCCAGTCACCCACAGATCTGACCTGGGAACATTGAGATGAATGGACTTAAAGCAACACAGAGTTCAGCCTGCAGGCCAGAGTGACCCAAATCAGATTTTTATGCTCTGATGTGATTCATGACAATTCTGATTTGGCCCACTTTCATATGTGGTCCAAATCAGGTAGAGCGCTGAGTTTTTGCAGTGTGACCTCAATGTGAAAAGTCATATCAGATTTCATGTAAGTTTTAGGGGTTCCCGGTAGCTTAGTTTTGTACAAACAATAACATATGCTATGAGAATTGCGATAGAGATCTGCACATGGTGGCTTTAAACGCCCTTCACAGGTTGATAGATATTATGTCTCATACCTCAACTGTTGTGCTACCAATTGATTCTGGACCCTGATTTAACACTGTACGTCACTTTTCTGTCGTTTATGTTATAGGAAAATCTATGAACTAATTAAATTAAAACAGGGGAGGATTTGAATCACAGATTGAGATTGATTTGGGGCATTTGGAAAGAATTGGGATGAATATACAAACATGCAGTTGAATTAATTTAAAATCTTCCTTCAGTTGACTGGTGGATTGACTGATGCACTGTTGGTAAAATCTCCAGACTCCTCACACTTGTCAGTTGAAGTGTAGAAAAAAAGTGGACTGAACAATGGAAAGTGTGTAAACTTTGTACCAAGCTCTTTCTGAGATTTACTATAATGAGTTCCTCTCTGGTGATGTCTGTTATTTTAATTTTGGTTAATTTACAATTACGTCAAACAGTACTGTATTGTCTGAATCTTAGTTTTTAGATAACTTTTTTTAGGTATAACCTAAAAATAAAATTCAGATCTTTTGTTATAATATATACAGTATCTCTTTTTTGTTATATAAGCATCAACTGACAGTTTTACTCCTGTTTCTGTGTTTGGGTCGTTCCCAATGAAAAACCATATTGTAAACAGTCAAAAAGAACTTTTTTGCATTCAGGGAGAATAAAAATAGAAAACTCACTCTAACTGTCTTCACTTAACATTCATTCATCACTTTTAATGAGCATTGAGTCTAAAGTTCAGGAAATTTAACTAATGTAAACTCGGATATATATTTAGAATGTTTTTCTGCTATCAATCTTCATCAGTTAATTTCAATAATTTCTTCATTGAAGCCATCAATTCGCTCATGCTGTCTCGCTAGTCGTGGAGCTGTAACTCCATGGCGCGCCGGTTGACACACGTAAGTTGGCTTCTGCTCAACGTGTAGACTGTTGGGCGTCTGACATCTGAGCGATCATTCCGCTCGCACTGAGGCACACCGCCATTTCAATGCTTACCCCACAGTTCGTCTTCACCATCCCGTTTACGTGCCTCTGTGGGCGGCTGCCATTTGGTTATTGTGCACCTTGTCTTGTGTTGTTTGATCTATTTTCGTTTTGCGTGGGAGTGTCTTAGCGCGCAGAGACTAGGGAGGCATGCGACAGGTGGACCGGCGGGGCTGGGCGGGGTTGGTTTGGCGCGAGAAGGCCTGGTTGTGGAGTGTGGGGGTGAGGGGGGTGGGGGGGAGGTGCTGATGCGGTGTGTGGCGTGCGTGACAGGAAGGGTGTGGGGGTAATGGGTGGAGGGGAGTGGTGGTGGGTAGCGAGTATGAGGGAGGTGAGATGGTGGTTGGGAGGGTGGAGAGGTGCGAAGGTGCGTGTCTTGGTGTCAGCGCTCGTTCATCGGTGAGTCGTGTGTACCTAGGGTAGGGTGGCTGGTTAGAGTACAGCGCAATGGGTGGTCGGTTGGCGTGTCATCTCTGACGCGTGGGTGTGTTATTCTCTTTCTAGGGTTGTGTGGTCATGTTGTTGACTGCTGTTATTGTGTAGTTGACCAACAATGTGTTCTAATTAGGTAAACGATTGGTACTCTGTAAGTTTAGGCGTAGTGTTAGCAGCATTTGTTATGTCAGTTTGCTGGATATTGTCTGTATGATTTTGGACATGCCAGCGTTAAATCATGACGAAAGAGGTGCTTAAGAAATGATTAACTTGTTAGAGTGTCTCAAGCAAAATAAACAAGCTTCTGGCGATGAGCAAAGGACGCGTGAGGAGCGGTGGTCGTCATCCGTCTCTGTCCAACGCTCCAACAGTTTCATAGTAGGGGTTGGCTTAGCCACGAGTGCTCCCCTAGGCCTGTGTAAGAAGGGAGCCGTTGCTGCGTGGTTCCAGATGTGGTCCCCGTAGGGGTTCTGGGTCGCGCGGGTATACAACGATTGGGTCCTGCCCTGCCAGCTGCCAGCGGTCGTACGGAGCGAGAGCGACCGGGGGGAGCTGGCCTGGTGGGGAGGTGGCGCCTGTTCTTGTGTAGAGGAGTAGATGGCCCGGGGGATCGGCGAAGCGCAGCAGCCGCGCGATGGGCGCGCATTCGCGCCCGATACACGAAAACAAGTCAAGAGTGGGCTTTTGTTAGAGAAAGGGTGTTTTAATTACAGCCGTGTACTCGTTACAAAGACTGTGGTAGCAGTATCCTGGGCTAATAAAGAAAGAGATTAACCATAGGCGTAGTGAAGAAAGTGCCGAGTAAAGGGTAGAGCTTGGGTCTTTAAGGCCAGCCTAGTTGGGATGGGGTCTAATAGCCGGTTCGAAG